TGTTGATGAACTGCGATTGCCAGAATAGACATAGTAATGACGCACATATTAATTAATTCGTGGAAACTCGTTATTGGCTTTTGAATTCTCATTTTTATGTTTAACTATAATAGTAATTGGGCCGTGAGTTTTTCTAAAATGTATAAAAAGACGTAAACAATAAGTAAAATTTATATTCACCATCACGGCAAACTTAACTTAGGCCATTTATAAATCTTAACAGAAAAACTTCGATTCCTTCGCGCGGTAATTGAACGCGACACGAACGACGCGACGACGCGCTTATTCGCTGCGCGGCATCTCAAAGGTTTAGACTATATTTAGTGTTTGTATTAGATAAAATGGGTAACAAAGTATTAGCTTCGCTTTCATCCGCTCGACCTCAAATTCGGTCAATCATGCCAAACGGTAACATCAATTACGGTCAAAGGTCGCTGGCGAGGGCGATGCGCCGGCGTCTCAGCACGGCCTGTACATATGTTTCGCGCGTGTCGCGGAAGAAGCATGGGCGCGAGTGTAGCATGAAAGTGCGCACTTTCACCTAAATTTGCCAACAGTCAATCATCAAATGTTTGTAAGCTGCTGATCGAACTTACAAACGACATCTACACACATTACACAAAGTTGTAGGCAATGTAGTTTTTGAGTTTGTTCTGGTTAGCTTGCATTAAATCAAACTGTTCTTCGATGTAACCGACTTAGCAGTACCGGCACTGCAGCATCAGCCATCCGAACGCTTGAGTTCCGTTAAATCTGCACTCGTAAATAACGGTCACTACTCGCAACCGATCGAAAGCGGCTCCTTACGAAGGCGAAGGATTCATTTCCCGTCTGGCGTGCTCCCTTGCTGCCAGTAGATTACAATATTGTATGCGCGAGTAACATCACAGACTACGTAATAATACTGCATAACTAATAGTGCAAAACTAGTGGAACTAATTAGGTACATACCCATTTATACTGTCAAATATGATTAGTTCCTTAATTTCGTGTTTTCTGATTGTAAATGAGTGTTCAGCAAAATTATTATCGGATTTACGTTAAAATGAGCCAACTTAAGATCGCCGTCTTTCTCCGTAGCAGATGCTGCGCTCTTACTCGCTCCCAATCGCGTTTCCTATCAACCAGACGTCGGACCCCACCGGCCGGCGGGCGCACAGCCTGCGCGCGTCTCGCGCAAAAATCTTTCTGACGTTAAGACTTGGCCCTATTTGTACGCAACGATTGGCACTAAGTAGCGCACCTGCACGGTTCAGAGGCCACGTCATTTGCAACAGAGCTAAGATTAAACTGCTATCAACTAAACAATGATATCTACAAAGATCAGTAGTCGGAAATCAATTGTTTACCTTTAGGTAAATTTGTTCTCCGCCGAACCTGAGACCTACAAAATTTAAATATACAAAGTAATAGTTTGCGATCTCAAAGTGATAGCAGGCGTACGTTGGTAAAAACGCCCATTGTCCGGTGATCGGTCAGAGTGTGAGTAAAAGTATGTCACGATAGAGTCGCCGACGACGACAATGCCGGCGGCGGCGCGGCGGTTCCGGACGCAGTCTGACTCACTAGCGTTAACGGATAGCTGCTTCTCACGCCCTCTGCGGGGTGACCCAAAACCCTTTTTTCCTATTTCTATGGCCCAAACGCGACAACTCATCCTGCAGAAATATTGTTTATAAAGCGTACATTATATATTCCATACACCGAATAAAACAAAAATAATAATAATGCACACACTCATAGCCCCACTCTAAGGAAAACCCTGTATCGCGGGTGCCATGGACACACACATATGTAGACAACCACAAATTACACTCAAACTCACGAGAGAAATAAATGTAGGCCATACAAATATTTCTCACGACCCGGGACCTCTGCGTGGCAGTCCAGCATGATAACCGTTCGGCCACGGAGGCAGTTAAATGTTGTCAATAATGACAAGACCACACTTCATATATGCCTAATAAAGTGTTAGGCCTAATATTTACATACAATATTTATTTGGCTGAATGCTATTACTTCTAAGTAAAGTTATATTATTTATTAAGGCGATAAAAGCAGTATTTTCCGTAATAAGTTGTTTCCACAAATGATTGAGTTGTAGAAATACGCCTCATATAAACCGCATCACAAACGTTAGGCGTGCGGGCTCTCCAAGAAGCCATCTCTATAATCAGGGTTTAGTTATTTAGGCCTTTCAATGTAATGTATATATTTTTGTGCTCTATGAACACTTTATACATCTGTTTTATACACCTTGACCGCATCGATTACAACCAAAATATGCTTAAAAATGATTGTAATTGCCTTTACAGGACACTTAACTCTGCAATTTTATATACATATATATATATATACCGAGGTGAGTCGTTTCGCATCAATTTCTATGTATTTTACACGGCCACTGTGGTTACTCTAGCATTCCGTATGCCACTGAGGAAAAGATAGAGTGTGTCCGTGCTCCATTGGAACATCACTCCATCTCCAGCACGCTTGACCTGCCACAACGACACACTTCACTGTCCGCCACTACCATTAATATACAAGGTCAAGGTAATCAATCACAAACACAGAGGAAAGTAAAAAGAAAATAATTAGCAATTAAAAGTGGAGCATGGGAAGCCCGACGTGAAAATGACGCAACCGGGTTACGGCTAGACGAGACTTTCACTTCACACTACACGTGTTCGGAGCCGCGATAAGGGTTCAAGAACGATACCACTGAACTTTCTTTTATCTAACGAACCGTTTCATGTAAAAATAATACTGGCTCTATAAAAATAATTACATTATTGGCAGTCTTTACGCACGAACGCTCCGTCGTCGTCGTCGTCGTTACATTAGACAACTAATGCTTTTTAGTCCCTCTGAATATTTATTTATTCTCGTGATTATCCACCCCATATATTTGACTATTAGCTTCTTTATTTATTACATTGCGCAGCGAAAGTGTCATACACTGCTTTTGCCAACAATAAATAAGTCTTCGGAGTCTGTAACATAATTTTATTGTCGTTAACAGTTCCTTTTCATTTCATTCAACACAATGTTTCTGTTACCCGAGAATATAGAGTTAGCTCTAACTAGAGCAAAAGGTACAGCTCGATAGGTTTAATGTAAGACGTAAATGAACAATGAGGTGATATGGACGCCGATGTCCAGCAAGGGCGTCGAGTTGCCCGTTATCGAGGCTCGGATGGCGATGGCGCGTGGCCCAGCGACAATTGCCATTCCGGCGGCGGTGCGCGGTGGCTCTGCTCAGCTTGCAACACCGTGCGGTGCCTCGGCGCGGCTGCCAAGCGTCCACATAACTCACACGTATAACGACTCCAAACCGTCGATTCACCGGGCGCACCGACAATTAAGTTGCGCAAGTATCCGCGTTCGTTCAGCGTGCCTAACTACACTCGGAAAGTTAGTATTCACCCCGCACGCGCACCACCACACGCGCTGCTGCAAATCCGATAATTTTCATTGCATATAAATGTATCTCACACATGTTTCATTGCAATTGATTAGTTCAAAGGCGAGATTTCTTTCATTTATCAGTTATAGCCTTAGTTGCGCAAATGAATATTCGCAGAATACCTGAATTTCGCTTCATTGACGAGTTCAGGCGTGTACAGAGTGAGTCACTTTCAAAGAACTCGCGCCAAGCAATAGTCTATATTATGTATGTGCTCAGAATAATCGAAAACTTTTCTTGTGAAATTGTTATAATCGGGAACAGTACCTTAAAAATGACCGCCCCCGGTGGTCGTGACTATCTCTGCAATCTAATACTAATTAACCACGACCATGAGATTATTTCAGCTATGTAGAGCTCAATATTTTGTAGGTTTATACGTCAAGAGACATGATTTATTGTTATGTGCAATCGTAGAATATCTATAATGGTTGCCGAATTTAGATTTTAAATGGTAAGAGAGCTGGCGAAATTACAGGCAATTCAAATCTTTGCGATTTAAAGCTCTGAGTGGCACTGCAATATTATGGACGGGCATGTCGCTTACCACCAGGTGCACGATTTGCCCGTCCCGTCATAAAAATAGTAATAATAATAATAAAATATTAGTATCAAGTGCTGCATTTGTAATTCCACTAAATAATAAGTCCCTAAGGAAGTGGTAATATTGGCATATTGTTATCACGCACATTGTTTGGTTCTCGGTAGACGAACACCAAAACAATGATAGTTTACTATTCGGTTGAGCGTTAGGCATTGTTCGCCGCTGCCGCCGCCGCCGCCAGCCGACAACGGCAACCAAGGAGATGCACCCTGACTCACGATCATGGAGTGTGACCTCGGTGACTGATTTTTATACACCATACGAAAATGTATTGCGTGAACAATTATGATTCGAGGTGCGAGCCGACAGCCTTCGCCCGACGTGAGTATGTCACGCAGCGCGATCGTTGACAGACCGACGACGGTATCCGAATGGGCTTTACCAGGGCACCATAGAGGCATTAAAATCTCTAATGTAGGCATGACGAAACAACTAGAGGTATTTAAACGTGTCGGTAAAAAGTGTTCGGTACTTCACTTCCATTATTGTAGCTTGAACTTGAACTTCGTGAATCGTATTTCATTCGGCCGAATATAAAGTAATTCAAGACTAAACATATTTCTACAAACATGCTTAACTCGACAGCAGTATTATATAGAGTGTAAGTAATTTACACAATAATAAAATGAAAATGTCCCGTTCACACTTTGTCTTTTATTAATTTTTATCCACATCGATGAACGTATTCAGTAATTGACTTAAGCAAAACCGCGAAACGAGACAGAAATTCTTCAAGTGGCCATTCGCCACATCCAAATGAAATGTAGTTCATTAAACTTAATTTGAATTCAAAACTCAACTAATCGAATCCAAGTTATGGATTGTTACATTTTCCGGAGGGAAAACACCGGCCCGGTAAAATGAATACGTTCATCCTTCAGGACTTCCCGTCCAGTGCGCTTCGCGAACTTAACCATATGGAGTACTTACCGATTCATTGATGAAATGTCGCGGTTCGCAGCACTGGAGGATGCGAGTGTGAGTATGTTCATAGCACAGTCACGTAGCGAACGATCAGCGCGCGGCCGCCATGCCGTCCGTCCGCGGCGAGGGTTGGGACGCGAGTGGGTGGGTGGAGCGCCGGCAGCCGGCCGCACGCCGCCGCCACCACCGCGCCGCCACCGCCGCGCCGCCACCGCCTCACCACGCCAGCCCAGCCACGCTCCTTCGCCGGCGATGCCGCCACCGTCTCACGGAAGCAACCTTCGTTGTACATGACCTGCATAGATCATCTTTTCCTTTTTAGGAACTAAAATTCCCCTGTAATTCATATAATGCAAACTTTTATACTCGCAGCCTTTGGGTCAACTGCACCGTAAAATCTCTTAACGCTCTACGAATTTTGTATAATAACATATTCAGGATTTGTTGAAGCTGCCACGATTTTGCAGTGCATAGGGGATATAAAGATATAAAGATATTTGAATTTAAATATAAACTATCGAGGTTGAAACACCTCGAGGTTGAAAAACGAACCTTCATCGTCTTAAGAGGTATCCGATCAACTGAGAAGTTCAATAAGGTGTAAAAGCGATGACGATGGCCTAACCATATTATTTGTAACCTTTAGTTGCAGACCTCGGTTCAAAGAAAAGGGCTTCCTGACGTTGACGAGATTATTATGCATCCATTACAAATATTTGATTATTTCTATGCGTAATTACAATAATTTATTTACTATAATATCCACGGTACGCTCAATTAATTTCTGGAATAAAGACCGCATTGCCCCATAACAAAAGAAATACCTAGTTAAAAGATCGTACATTCTATAATTTGAATGAATTTTTCAATGGAACGTCAAATTTTTCTCAGTATTGCAAAATTTTCAATTTTTTTTAACATTATGGACATTTCAATTGTACCTAATGTGATTGACATAATTATGATTCAATTATTGTAATTTTACAACATCGTATCCCTGACCCAGGAAAGAACTGCGAATCGAATTCCATGTAACATGTTTCCTGTTTTCTGATTTCCAACCTTCACACATATCAATAACACTTCGTCAAGCAGGCAAAGTCGTATCGCCTAATAGGACTCCTGTCGGTGCTTGGGAAGACACTAGAGAAGATGTTCCTCTAAAGAATCAGACGGCACACCTTGCCAAAGATGAACCAAAGGCAATATGGCTTTGTGCCCCGATGCATCACGGAATACGCCCTCTTTGAGGCGATGGAACACATCAAAGCAGTTTTTAAAGATAAACGCTTAAGCATAATCGTGTCATTGGACATAGAGGGTGCGTTTGGTAGCACATCGTGGCCGGTAATAAAGTGCGAACTCAAGAACAGAGAATGTCCGATAAACCTCATAAGATAGGCAGATAGCTACCTTGAAGATTGGAGAGTCACGGTGAGATACGCAGAGAAAGAATGGACTAAGAGTACGACGAAAGATTGTGTGCAGGGCTCTATAGAGGGCTCGTCTTTCTGGAACCTGCTATAAATCCGCTATTAGATGATCTGGAAACAATGCGTGTACATAGTCAAGCGCTCGCCGATGACATAGTCCTGATTTTTGACGGAGAGAAAATGGGGGAAATCGAGGCAAAAGCAAACGACATACTAGAAAGAGTGGCAAAATGGGATCACAGAAATAAACTCAAATTTGCAGCACAAAATCAAATACGATGATAATCACAAGAAAAATTAATACACAAGAGCCCAAAATAATCGTGAACGCCACTGATATAATAATAGTACACGAAATGAAGATATTGGATCTTACCATCGATTGCAAACTAACGTTCCAAAGTCACGTTGCAAACGTATGCAACTTTTTGCATATGTTTGCGAATTTGAGTAAACAGCTGAGTAGAGCTGCTAATATTTCATTGGGGTTTAAACCCGGCGATAATCAGGACGTTGCGGCCAGAAATAGACGGAAAGGTGGGTGTGGTGTTATCCTCTTGGAAAGGAGGAAACGCAAACCAAAAAACTTAAATTTCAGTTTTCCAAGCCGAAGTGCTCGCCATTCGTGAAGCCACGAAATTAGTGCTAAAATCGCCTGTAACAGACATCGGCATCCTGAGCGACTCAAGATCATCCCTTGAGCTTTTAAAATATAGTGAATGCACCCATCCAATAGCCTTTAAAATCAGGGAGAACTTGCGCCAAATAAGCCGCCACGAGAAAGACATTATTAGATTAGATAAGAGCCCATATAGGAACAGAGGGCAATGAAAGAGCTGACGCCCTAACAAAAGATGCAGCCCTATGTTTAAAGAACGCCTCCAATTATGCACAGTGCCAATATAACACATCAAAAAGTCATCAGGAAGAAAACGGTGGAGGTTTGGAATAACCGTTATAAAGATGGAAATACGGCACACGAAAATGGAAATACGAAATTATTTTTCCCTTATATACGCACGCATACACAACGATAAAAAAATGGACTTGACTCCAATTTGAGTGTAGGTACTGACAGGCCATGGAGCGTTTTCGGAATACCTACACAAATTTTAAAAAAATCCACTCCTAGCTGCATCTGTGATTCAGCATTCTCCATCTGCTCAAATGAAACGCTGGGCTTTTAGCGCCTCAGGCTTCCAGAAAAATAAAATTCAATATATGGTTTCACCAGTATATTTCAAATTTTTACAAAAACAATGCTCAGGGGTAGGTACGTCGGTTAGTTCGCTCAGCGATGACACGCAATGAGACAGCTTAATTTACGAAGCACTAGCGAATGACGTTACCGCCACACGCTCACTGAGCCCGTGACTAGCGTAAACGCACTGGTCTGAGGCGACTAGGCTGCCGTGACCACGGTGACGCGGAGAAGGTAGACCCGCGACTAGGGTAAGCTCAGAGCGAAGGTACCTTAAAAAAAAGAAAAAGTAGGTATATAAGATATATAAATCTTAAGATATATATATAAAGATATATAAAACATCACACAAAAGCTAAATCATAGGAAGTTTTTTTTTAATTACGTAGATGTCAATAGATCTAAGGAAATATGAGATAAGGTAACGTAAAATAGAAATAATATAGAAAATGTCATTAAAATATTAACTGTTAAAATTATAACATGTAAATATTCTGTCACTATTATTACGACTGTGTGCAACTTCTCTCCAAAAGGTACTGATTATATATACGACAGACCCCTATAAAGTCTCTGATTATGTCAGAGGGCCACTGGCAATGTCTCCATTATAAAAATATAAAAAGCACTTCGTCACAGACAGATATATAATAACCTAAAATGACCTGCGCGGTTCTCCGCGCCTTAGGGGGAACCGCAGCTGCGGCGAGAGGGCTCATTGTCTACACGTTGTCGCCTAACCAGCTGGTTCGACAGTCTTCACGGGGCGTGGCGCTACTGTTTTCCCGACGTTACCACCATCGCCATAGATATCAACTTTGTCAAAATATTTATAAGTGTTATTTGATTTAATTGTTATTTAATTTATTTGATAAGTTATTTGATATGATACATTGGGTTTCAAACATCCCAATTGCATCATTCGAGGAGGGAACACCTACACCTTTCTCAACATTTTTGGTTTAATATTTGAAACAAACGGAACACCGTCGCTATCTGGAGTCGCGGCTAGTAGGAAGAGAGGAAATTATTCCATTGTTGTGACGGATGTCAACTCGCTACACGCAATTTTCACGGCTGTTAAGGGGTTCGTTTTAGTCAATGCTACCTTTTGATTCCACCTCCTCGCCTTTGGACAGGCTTGCTGTTGTAATGAATTTGCTCCCTGTGCATCTCGCGGAAGGAACTCAATCAGTTAACGAAACAGTGAAGACAGCTGAACGGTGGCAGGTGCGCTGTGGAAAACGCAATTGCAAGAGAAATGTAGACTACAAATTTGCCGTGGCTTCACAAACGCAATATTGTTGTCGAGGCGGTACGCCGTGGTGGCGTGATCAAAATCAACCTCAGCACCTGTGTTTCTGCCCCAAATATTGTAGGTATAATGGATAGTAATCAGTATTGCTGTACAATACTAGTGAGTAGTGATGCGTTCGTAGATGTTTTACATCAAGTTGCCGATCAATGTACATTTAACACAATGCATCAACCTCAAATTAAATGCAACGTTGGGACTGTTGATTGAGACAGTGCCGCGAACGCTGACTCTAGCAGGCCTTTGTATGTGCGTCATGCAAATGCAGCGCACGCATTTTTTTTATACGTAATTTTATTGTAATAATTTTTCCTATCTTTAATAGAATAAATAAGAAAATAACAAATTTATTTGTAAGTCAATGACAAATAAACAATTTTTTAACGTTCATTTTTAGAATGTCAACAAAGCGAATGCGCTGTCTGAACGTCTCTGTCCTTCATCTCCACTCTGACATGCAATACGCCTAACCAGAACGTAAACGCATGCTCCTTCCTGTGAAATATAGGCGTATATTATGCAGATAAATGGCGATCATGTCAAAAAAATATTATGCAAGACACGAACAAAACAATGTAGAGCACATTTTTTTTCCATTACAGAGTAATATTTTGCAAAAATTATAAAGTAATACAGGTCGTTAGCTAAGGTTAACTAATATAAATAAGGCTTTCGTGGATATCACCAATTACAGGTGTCCTACCACGGCATGGGTTCTGTTTGTAGTCCGGTATTTCGGAACCGTTACACACTCCCTTCATGTCAAGTCGTGACAACCGTACAATAATCGATTGTCATTTGACAAACTAGCAGTATATATAATAATAATAAAATATAATAAATAATAATAATAAATAATATATGTATAATATATTTCGTGGGAGATAGATTCAAAACATTTTAATTCTCAAACAATGGTTTGCAATTTTTCTGTTGACCGATGCCAAAGAGACATTAACCATTTAATCATTCACGAGCTCATTGTCATATATCACAACGATGAGAAAAGGAATGGAGGAGCGAAGAGTCTTCAGGACATCATCACGTTGTTAAAGAAGACCGACCCGACAATGTGCCTGCTTTCGCGACCAAGGAGCTGCATAAGCTGCCCCGTGACACGTTCGACCACGTCGACGTCACCAGGCTGCTGAAGGACATCACGTCCCTAGAAGCGAGCCTTACT